GTGACATTCAACTAGTACTGAGAAACACACCACAAATTCCAATGCCACTATTGCAAAGAAAACAAAGCATTCAACCTACTTATTTAAGTAGTAGCTAATGATTGCGTGTAAAAAAGTTCTCATTAGACGTTGTGGCCAGTGGGACCAACCATATCAAGAGGTGAGGTGGGAGTGAATGCTCACCGCGCATTGACATAGGACATTGAATTTCAACTCAATGGTTAAATGAACAAAGACCTCACCTTGTAACCTAACGGTACGTGTCTCAAATTCTGGTAGGCTCATAGGTGCGAACTAATGGAGAGTACTACCTGGATTTTAGCAACTTTTCAACTTGCTTACTAATCACTCTCATGCAATGAATTATGTCTGTCTTAAACAGATAAATGTTGTCGATACAGAAGCAAGCAATAGTCATCCAATCGAACATCCGCTCATCTAGGTATGATTTGACTATGTGCAAAGTGATGAAAGCAACAGAACTCAAAGCATCAACGAAATATTCCCATACTGAGTCATAAGCATAAAAAGAAGTGAACAGCAAAAAAAATTTCCCTTTTCGACGGTTCATTTTCATGAGCTGTACAATCGTAATTATATTTCATAAGGAAAATTTATCCTCGAAAAAGGTATTACGTAATGTGAGCTGTAGTCTAGAGGTGGGTTGACTAATTGGAAGTTAGAAAACAGGCAGAAGTTGGCGTGACGCAACAATTATGTTGAGTGGACAAGAACTAGTGGAAAGACGATAAAGTGTTTTTTATAAACTCTGTATGAAGACACAACGTTATTACATACATTTATTCCCCTTAATGAAGCAAGAACAACAGTGATTTTTGCAGAATAAAATGGTACCATCATTGTTTATTTCGTTGGCTTCTCATCAGCTGCTTACAGGCCAAAGTCTTTATCAAGTATATCTACAGAAACAATATTAACATACTTGCACAGAGTTCATATTTAAACAAAAATCAATCAATCAGTATATGCATACGGTAATAATATATACATATGTACTATTAAACACTATTCCGAACAATAATGATCACACACAATGGAAATTTTCGGCATCACTCGTTTGGATGAAAGAAAGGTGAAAATATCCAGTTACCACGGTAAAGAAAGACTGATAACCGTTTCTTTCTGAAGAATAAACTTAAATAATAAAAAGAAAGAAAATTTTTTTGATATGTGCCTTTGTTCTCTGAGCTGGATAGTTTATATGCGAAACTTTCATCGAACGGCCTACTGTCATATCTGAAACAAAATTAAAGCGCGAACGTCACTGTCAGCACCGTAGGGTGAGGGAATGTATGTGGTGCCTTTGTTTGTTTGCAGAGGTCCGGTTTCAGATCCTGAATAGCCAATGATTCAAGCACCATATACAGGTGGCGTTTTCGAAGTCTTTTCTTTCTTTCATACGACAATACTCGATGTCCAGAGTTGACAAGGTAATACAATCAAAGGAATGTACTGTACTACAAATGAGATGTATACGATTGATTGTATTTTACCTATTGTGATCAGTCGACAACACCAGAACGACATAGTATACTCGCGCACATAAGTTTATCAATTCAATTAATCGTATTTATAAACCGGTTGAGTTTCAAAAATCCACGTAACACACAAAGGCAGAAAAAAGAGGACAAAAATAAGCAGAAATATGAGGGAGGGAAAGTAGTAATATGGTAAAACAATAGGGTTTAGGGGACATGGAACATGACAGAGAGTGAATGCATCTCCGCTACCACCTAGAACGGTTTCAAGCTATGTCACCAATTCCATTGATTCTTACCATCTCGAGGATACCAACCATGCAGTCTACACCTACTACCTACATGGCTGAGACCAACTGTCGAAAATTTCATGGACTGATGACCAGTTTTATTCTGATCACCCCGAACTCTTTTCCAACCTATTCCTTAATCAGCTGACACTTCCCACCTAGGAAGGTGATAACTGGACATGCGCAGCACATTTCTTAGCCATCTCAATCCATGTAGCTTTACAACCTCATCGGTTGATTTCACTCGACCGAAGCCTAACCTGAATATTACTCACCCTATTGATACCAGCAGACAGAATGAAGGCATCTCCGATCAAGGACGTCTCCACTTCCAATGACCATGTCTAGTTCACAGCCATAAAGCAGGACGTAGCCGACTGTTGGGCAGTATATACATCCTCTGATCGATAGTCAGATATCATGTCTTCATCAGAAATGGAGTCAGTCGGCGAATAGCACACAAGCTTTTCAAATCCATGGTAAGACTTCCTCAGCAACCAAGTCAGTGCACTGATGCAACTCCCCGAATAAACGGAGACGTCAAAACACTCTACCATTTCACTTCCTATCGGTGTATTCTAGTCCTGCAGTATCTCCTTACTTTTCGTAAGAGGAGAGACGAAATCATGTCACGGTGACAAAATGTGTCGGAGGAGGAAATGCGGTGACTCTAAACTATATCAAATCAAACCGAAACTACCTAGCGAACGGATAACTGACCCTGAGAAACCAGTCAGGCGACTTGGTGTTATCCAGACGTACTTAGGGATGCTGTACACGTTTTGCGTTGCAAATCCGCACAAGATCTTGTTTTTGATTACTGTTTGGAGAACAGACTGATAGGAAAGTCGAAAAGGTGTGAATGTCGATGTTATGTATATACATTGATGGATTTTTTTACAGGTGCGATGAGTACCGAACTAGAAAGTCAATTCGAGAAGGTATGCCGTTCTTTTTTAGTTTACAGAATCCGTAAGTACTTTTTCCGCCAAGTCTAGATTACCTCTAATGAAAATTTTAAAGATGTCATAACTGGATGCTTAAAAGCCCAGTAACAGCAACAGCGTATAAATCAGAAAATTCAGAAGTGTTTGCAGTGCAATGGTACCAGTACTGCAGAGACATAATGCCATGCAAAATGAACAGGCTGACTCAAGTACTTGGCGTCATTATTCACATGGGTGAGACAGTGTTAATAAAAAGAAAATATAAACGAATGAGACTGAGTGCGAATCAGCAGTGGGTATTGGAGATATATCACACCACCCTCTGCAAAGGATACAATGAGGTGATCCCTGATCTCAATGCAAATGTCTTATTACCTATTATCCAACGCTTAGTGCTGCCTGGAACAACTATTCATACAGATGAATGGAGCAGTTATAGTCAGCTATCAATCCCGGGGCTATATATTCATCACGTCGTCAACCATACAAATGATTTCATCAATCCTTTCGATGGAACTCATACCAATTCTATCCAGAATTTTTGGAGTCACCTAAAAAAAGTCAGATCTGCGAATGGATCAAGGAATACAATGATATACAGTTATCTCGATGAGTTTATGTACAGGGCTTGGGTTAACCTAACTATGAAGACTCCTATAGGAAATTGGGAGATTTTTTTGAAACATGCACGAGAACGTGAGATTTGAACCCGGAACATATTAGCTGGAAGCCTAGTAGTATTCAGGCTGTCAAAGAGAATGGTGGAATAAATATGTTTGAAATCTTGCCTGTTTCAAACATATCACCCGAAGGAGTACATCCAGGCAACAGCCTAAACCTACACCATTGCATCCGACCACTTGCACTGCCTATCTTAAAACTAAATTACAGCAAATCGAAAACTGTCATGTTGTTAACTGTATAACACCCCCAATAGGGAAACATGCTCAGATTTCAATCTGTATATCACACACACACACACCTCCAACCTTTCTCCAATCTTTTAAGTTCCAAGTGGAAAATACCGCTGCAAATTTCAGTAGTCCTGTGGTTGCTATAACCTCATGTCCAACCCCTCTCCTCTTTATCGGATTGTGTACCACCGATAGACCAAGTGTAATTACCAAAGAGTGTATCGGTTGAGAATCGAACCCAAGTTATTTTGTGCACGACTTGATGACGACGCATTAAACTAGTTGAAAGTAACTGTTACACATTTTAGTTTGTTTATTAGATGTATCACACAGTGAGTGAAACAGCATTATTGTTTCACTGAATGACAAGGTTTTGAACAAAATTTATTGTTCATAACCATATCGCCAATTATAATCACACGACTTCGAAACTTCAGTTTTATAGTTTTGTTTATCCTCTCCTGTTTGTCGTATGGGGAGTAGAATTTTTCAGATAACTGGGACGACACCAACAATAAGGAATCTAAATCATCAGTAGTAATTCCATACAAGGAAGGAACCTTGGAAACCACCTTATGCAGAATTCTTAACAAGGCAGGAATAAAAGTGGCTGACATTCAAACCACCCACAAACTCAATAAGAAACAAGCTTTGTCGGCTACAGAATCAATCCTGTGGAGCCTTTAAAACAAAACAATTTAGTTTATCTAATACCCTGCTGTAATGATTGTTGGGTCAAATACGTAGGTCAAACTAGTAGAACAGGGTCAGTGAGTCAGACAAGCCGAGCATAAAAACCTAGCAGCAAAATGTAGATTGGTTGACCCGAATAAGATAAGAAATCTAGAGAATAGTTCAGCTATAGCACTACATGCATTTACACACAACCATACAATAGGATGATGGGATAGGATGACAGTTTTAAAATCTAATGTCACAGGGTTGAGGGAGAGATTGATAACAGAAGCTTTGTTTATCAAATCAACTGAATGAAAATACGTGTAGTAGGAATGATTCAACACATGTTCACCAAAATATCTGGAAAATTCTAGTACTCCAACGATGAAAAATAGGAGAAGACAAGGAAAACTATACAACTGAAGTTTCAAAGTCGTGTGATAATAATTGATGATATGATTATGAACAATCATAAATTTTGTTTGAAACGTCATCCAGTAAATAATACTGTTTCACTGTGTGATATACCTAATAAACAAACTAATGTTGAATTACTTACTACCACAGTGCCCAAGTTTTACACATATATATATATATATATATTAACTGTTACACAACCCTCCACACTTTATACATATGTAGAAAAAAGGCAAAAAGTCATTCAAGAGATTTATGCATATATATTTGAAACGGTCATAACAGTTCAACATGCACGCACACATGCATACACGCTAGCATTCAAGAAATCGGAGAAATAGGAGCAAGGAAATTAAATACCATGCATTAGTCTGACAACATCGCATTTTTAATGCTTTTAAACTCTGATTACATGTAATATTTATGCACTATTTACATCATCCATCACATATGAAAAAAATAGATTATACCTAGACAAACAAACAAACAAATTAAAAGATTCACCGCACATAATCATAATTACATATAACAACAATTGTGATCACATAAATAGAAGAGGTAAGAATTTGAAGAGAAAAAAAGCCTATTTCATTTTTCCCGCCAAAAAATGGCGACAATCAATATACATATCATAATTGTTTGTTTCATTAAAACACAAAAATAAAAAGAGAGAGAGACTAGAAAGTATCATTTCATTCATTCAATTAACAATAGTCATAATCATAATAATACTAAAATGAAAGCACTCATAGTTGGAAATTGGAAGAGATCATTGAGATGGAGAAATAAAAAAAATCTACAATTTGGGAAAGAAAACTTTCCTTCGTCATTTTGAGGATTCTTCTTCATTAAAGCAGATAAAGGAATGCTGCCTCGTCTTCATCCAATACAACATTATCTTCATTATCGATATCGACTAAGATAGTGCCAGTAGTAGTTCCAGAGTGTGGAATAGGAACACCTTTTGATACTAGTCCTTCTCCTCTATAAATATCTGTTAGATCTACATGATTACTGAATATTTCTGAACCGGATTCAGTGATGAATTCATTCATCGGTAGCGGTATACATGGATCGGAGAGATTCAGAACTGGTGGAACGTTATTAGTTTCTGTAAGAGGATTTTTCCCATTAGTAGTATTGAATTCTTCTCGTCCAGTAACAACAAATCTGAAATTAATATTAAAAGATAACAAACAAAATAATTTGAAATTTTAGTGTGGACACATTGAATAAACCGAATCAATAATTATTATAATATTATTATTGCTCCCTTGCGTTCCCAGTGGAACACAGGGCTTCAACTGTACGTCTCCACTTGCTTTTGTCTTCCTTCTGCTCTACTTTTCACCTGCATCCATGTTAGTCCATACTCTTTCAACTCCTCTTCACACGATCTCATCCATGTCAGCCACCACTAAACGTCCCACTAGCCGTTGGATGTTGTTGCTGTTGTTGGTTGGTTATTTTCATCACCTCCGTCTTGTATATGTCCATTTGGAGTCCTGTCTTTGCTGCTTCTTCGACAGGATATTCCTGTCTTCTCGTCTCCCACTATCTGACGCATAATCCAGTCCACCACTATTAGGAATATCATTGGTGATAATAAGCACCCTTGTCTGACTCCTGTATTTATTCCAAACGCTTCGCTGAATTTTCCGTTGTGGATCACTTGACATGTTCCGTTGTCGTACAGCTGTTGAATAAGGTTGGTGAATATTTCGGGTACGCCGTAGTACTCGAGTAGTTTCCAAATAATAATTATAATAATAATAATAATAATAATAAAAACACCTAGATTTCTCTAGCCGATGAATGATTCGGACGCAAACGAAGGATAGATAGCTAGATAGTTTTGCCACATATCTATGCGCATTTATCAATTCAACTGCACCTCCGGTGACAGTCGTGTTGGGTGTACTACCATCGTGGTTTGGCATAGGACAGACAAAAACAATCTGTAGCACAAATTTGTCACATTTAATTGATAGTGGTCATGTAGTGGAGAAAACGAGAGCTTTCAAGGTGAATATTCATCGTACCCCACCACATCTTTCTAACAGACTTCGGAATCGTTCACTGCGCACAGCTGAGGCAATAAGCATTGGAACTATTAATTCTTAACTGTGCATTCAAAAGAAGTTCGTACACAGCTATTATCCTCCCCTTGTTGGCCTATATTAAGACACAACCAACTGATGACTTCTACACCATCCTGTTATGTACTCGTCCCTAATTTATTGTTATGGACTGGTCGAGAAATTAATAGTCCTGACGCGAGAAGGCGGAAATCAGAAGACCACTAGGTTTGCGATGATACTTCTATTGTCCAAACACAAGGAGACGAAAATAAATGGTCTCACACCAAAGTGGTAAGTAAGTAAAGTAGTTGTAAAGTAAAGTAGTTCACACAAATTGTGAATGCGAATATATATAAATAATTCAGACAAGCGTGGGAAAAATCATTAGACAGTCTTAACATGAATGGCTAATTATAATGGAGTGTCGATCCAATTATACATAGCGAATATAGCAGACATGCCAACAAACATATATGGATATATGTCACCAAGCAACGGACTGTCAACAAACACTCATATTATATATAATATAATATAAGGAGAATACACATTATTAAAGGAGACAAGTCCATACAAGTGAAGTGGTCACAGACTAACCGAGCAAACAGAAAGAGAGACCAACATGCACACACACACATAAATATATATATGTGGATACATATCACCTCCCCTTTTGAGAAGATGAATGATTAGTAGGATGTTTACCTGGGGGTTTATCTGGGACCTTTGGGCTTGTTGTTGACGCCTGTCGTTTCGTCTGATTGTTGGGTTTGCGGCTTCGGCTCCGTCCGGAATTGTCTAGCATTTTATGCTTCTTCACTGTATTGCGTAGAGAATTTAGTGGGACATCAGCCAGATGCAAACGATCGAACCAATCAAGTCCCAAAACATTTAAATCATTCTTGGTGACGTAACAAATTCCTGTGAATTTGGTATTGCGGAAGGAAACAGAACATTTGAGTTCACCAATTAGTTTGAGCCGCCCACCACAGGCGCTGACAAGAGACTGGGAAGTATTGGTGATAGGTGGTCTGCCAATATAATTCCAAAGTTTCTCTGATATAACAGTAATATCAGAGGCGGTATCTAGCTGCAGACGTGCATCATGACCATTCATCTGAAGATCAAGATATTTCCGCATAGCTGGTGTTGTGACTTGACGGGTTGCGCGTAGACTCAATGACTTTTTGGGGATTTAGGACCAACATTTTGTTGAGCTTTTGCTGGATTTTGATATCTGGGTTGCGTGGCTGACAAAAACCATTTTTGTGACCGATGATCTTGCACTTGCTGCAACGATGATTTTTGTATGGACAAGACTTTACAAAGTGCCACGCGCCACAATGCCAGCATGGTGATGGAGGGGTCTTCTTTGTCGTATTTTGTGAAGTTGGACGAGTATCTGTAGATTTCCGCGGAACATTAGAGAAGTAGGTGGGTCAGGAGTAGATGATGAGAGATTTTTGCTCTTGCGTAATGCACGAATATCAGAGCTTCTCGGAGGTGTTGATTCGACCAGGTGTGTGTCTTTCTGCAGATTAATCAGCCGTTGATATTCATCAGCTATGTCATGTAATGTTAACTTGGGATTTTGTTCTAGCTGATTGAGCAGTCGAGTTCGGATATCTGTGAAACGAGGAGATTGGAGACTGCATATGAGAATCAAGGCTTTGAACTGATCATCTGTTAAGGACCTGAGTCGAAATCTCTCACATTCTCGGTTGACTGTGCCAACGTGAGTAAGAAAATCATCATTTTCATTCATTGCCAGCTTGAGGCAACGATAACGTATACTGAATAATGAGGAGTGGTCTCCGAAATGTTCACGCAGCAACTTTATTGTATCATCGAAACAATTGTCACGTGGTTTCTGTGGTAAAATTAGGTTGCAGTACCGTTCATATTCTGCCGGACCCAATTTACGTAGCAAAACTCGCACCTTCCAGGCATCGTCTTGTGAGGCGAGATCAACAGTGAATAAATCCTCATAACGTTGATACCATGTGTCAAAAGTGACATTAGCCTCTGGGTCATAATTGAACTGTGAAATACTGTTCACAATGCCGTCGACAGATGGTAGCATGGTATGATTGGGATTGCTTGAAGGTGAAGCTGGACCAGTCTGTTGGTTGACGAACATTTCCATTAATTTCAATTGTTGTTCAAACAATAATTCCAATTTAGAATAATCCATAGTAAATTGTTATGTTGCTGCTGCTGAGTGGTTAATAGTAGTTTTTCCCGTCGCCAAATTGTTATGTACTCGTCGCTAATTTATTGTTATGGACTGGTCGAGAAACTAATAGTCCTGACGCGAGAAGGCGGAAATCAGAAGACCACTAGGTTTGCGATGATACTTCTATTGTCCAAACACAAGGAGACGAAAATAAATGGTCTCACACCAAAGTGGTAAGTAAGTAAAGTAGTTGTAAAGTAAAGTAGTTCACACAAATTGTGAATGCGAATATATATAAATAATTCAGACAAGCGTGGGAAAAATCATTAGACAGTCTTAACATGAATGGCTAATTATAATGGAGTGTCGATCCAATTATACATAGCGAATATAGCAGACATGCCAACAAACATATATGGATATATGTCACCAAGCAACGGACTGTCAACAAACACTCATATTATATATAATATAATATAAGGAGAATACACATTATTAAAGGAGACAAGTCCATACAAGTGAAGTGGTCACAGACTAACCGAGCAAACAGAAAGAGAGACCAACATGCACACACACACATAAATATATATATATGTGGATACATATCACATCCCTAGTTGATATTTTCAACCTCTCTCTTGTCATCCTTTAATCTTATCACATATTCATTAAAAACGTGTTTCATTTGCTTCCCTTACAATCTGGCATAACTTAATCGGTTCATTTGTTTATTTGACTGGTTTGACCGCCGCTAGCTCTTTCCCAGCCTGACCCTATGTCAGCTAACATTGACCGTCCAGGAAGGTGATGGTTAGACGTGGATGCCTAACACATGTCCTAACCATCTCAATCGATGTAATTTCACAGCCTCGTCGATTGATTTTCCTTCCTGTTTACCTAGCACTCGACCGAAGCCTAACCTCAATGTTGCTCACCTTATTATGCCACTTCACACGGGCAATAGAGCGCAGGCACCTATGATCAAAGACAGCTAGCCAGCCTTTTCATGTCTTCCACTCTCAATGGCCAAGTCTCACAGCTGGCCATATAAAGGAGGACGGAGCGAACTGCTGCTAAGCAGTACACACGTCCTTTGGTCGATAGCCAGATGGATATCACGTCTACTTAGCGAGAGACGGCGTAAACTGGAATATGCGAAACTAACCCTCTGTATCCGTACTGAGATTTCGTCCAGAGATCAACCCCTTGGGGCTAATAGAATATATATATATGATATGTACGAAGACTTACCCTGTAACATTTGCAGCATCAGCATATATTGACACTGGAACAGGGGTGACATTCTCTTTTTCTTCTCTTTTATCCTTTGATAATACATCGAACAGATAATCTGTTCGAGATTTACATAAAACTGGACTGATTGAAATAGGATTTAGGTAGGATGAAGACTGGAGAGTAGTCATATTGGCAGTAGTATAAGAAGTATCATTAGCAGTAGTAGTAGTAGTAGGAAAAGGAGGAGTAGGAGGCTTGCCAGCAACAGCGGTAGTCGGGGTGTTAGTATTCGTAGTAGGAATGCTGTTAGTAGTGGTGCCAATGTCAGTAGTCACAATATTCAAAGTACTAGCATTAGTAGCAGTATTATTATTAGAAATAGTAGTAGACGTTTTAGTTGCTTTTAAAAACTCTTGTATTGTCGGCAACTTGTTCAGTACATCATCGAGAAGACGATAGTTTTCAGAATTGTTTGCAAATTGTAAATGTTCTGTACAATGAAGATGCTAGAAATGGGTAGAGACAGATGACATAATTAAAAAAATAATAATGATAATAATACTAATAGTGTAACAACAGAAGACAAGGGCCGGTAACAGATCGTTTTTATTACGGAAATCAGCACGTATTTATATATACTTGCTGTCTGTCTGTCTGTTTTCGACATAGAACTTTGCACAAATGTGCGGAAGTTCAAGTCGCCACACTCCGTGTAGCACGCGAAGCAAGAGAAGAAAGTACAAGAAAAGCATAATAGAAACAGTGAGCAGAGGTGTGAGACAAAGCAGGAGTAATAACGAAGAACAAAACAGTTTCATTGGAGATCATAAGTCACAAGGAGTGGATGCATCTGAGCTAGCCACTGAGAACGATTTTGAGCCATGTCACCAATTGTTTCCAACCATAGATTTTTACCATCCCGAGGACCCCAGCCTGGAAGTCTACACCTTCCTACGTGGCTTAGACCAACCGTTGTGGATTTCATTGACTGGTGATGCCATGTTTTTGTTTGACCGCCGCTAGCTTTCTTCCAGCCTGACCCTATATCCGCTAACATTGCTCGTCGAGGGAGGCGATGACTCGGCATACGTAACACATGTCCTAACCATCTCAGTCTTTGTAACTTCACGACTTCGTCGATTGATTTCCCCTGTTTACCTAGAACTCTACGCCTAACCTCAATGTTGCTCACCTTATTATGCCACTTTACATGGGAAATAGAGCGCAGGCATCTATGATCAAAGACAGCTAGTCTTTTCATGTCTTCCACTCTCAGTGGCCAGGTCTCACAGCCATAAAGGAGGACGGAGCGGACTGATGAGCAGTACACCCGCCCTTTGGTCGATAGTCGAACATCTCGTCTACGCCAGAGTCGGCGTAAACTGGCAAATGCGAAACGAGCCCCTTGTATTCGTGCAGAGATTTCGTCAGAGACCAACCCGTTGGCGTTGGCTGATGGTACTTCCCAAATAAGTGAAGCGGTCAACGTGCTCTACCACTTCACTTCCTATTTTTAAACTAGGCGTCGATGTAGTCCAGTCCTGTAACATCATCTTGCATTTGGCGGGAGCGAATCGCATGCCAAACATTCGTAGATTGCGGCTCAAGATGTTTAGAAGACTCTGCATTTCGTCAGCGTCTTGCTGTACATTATTCTAGCTTATTCAAGCAGACAAACACAGTCTTCTGATTGGTTGTTTCGGGTTTTTCCGAAAGTTACGCCATCTATCTGCGAATCTTATTTGCCCACTTTAAGTCTGCTGTGATTGGTTGTTGAATAAGCCTTGTTCACTAACAAAGAGTGAATGCGTCTACGCCAGCCATCACTGACAACTAAGATTTCGAGCCATATCACCAGTTATCTATCTCCACCCATTGGTTCTCATCATTCCGAGGACCAACAAGTCTGCACCTCTCTACGTGACTGGTTGGTTGACTCAAACTAACTGTTATAGATTTCACTGATTGATGAAGCAAGGTCTTCGTTTTTATTTTTTTTAATTTTTGATTACAGCTTGATTCCACACCATATTTTTAGTACAGGTATGGAATTTTCAGCATGTGATATCGATAGCCCAACTTTTGCAGGCCGACCATAGCTATCAGGTGTGCGTCGGCGGGGTCTCGAACCCCGGACAATAAGCATGGTCATTAAGAATCCTAACCGCTGTGCCACAGACGCACAAAATAAACCATCACCTAGACGTGGAAAATTTAAAATTCTAATATTACTTAATACTAAATTCCTATACTTCATTCGATTTTTGATTAACTAGTTCATACCGATTGGAAAGAACACATTGATGTAAAAGGGTGTCTCTTTTTTTTGTTAAACACTATCTAAATAATTAAATGCGGGTCAAAATTCGTGTTGGCAGTTTACCAGTGTATGTGTGTGTGTATGTGTCAACAACACAACATTGTAACATGTCATTATTTCATATCAACTGACCTTCGAAAATATTGTTTTGTTGCATAATTTAATTCATGTTCTGGATATGTGTCACACACACCGAACACAAACACACACTCAGTGTGAGAGAATGAAATACGCACACTCACACCCATAGAGAGAGGAAGAGCTGTGAAAAAATCGATTTCTCAATATATGAACCAATGATAAAATCTCGTTTGTACTGAATGACTCACTTTTATTTAGTAAGGGGATTAAAATATATACCTGGTTTTGGTGATAAGATCACAAAGAATAAAAATTATTGATTATCGTCTTTGATGTTTGCGTGATTTCAAATAAAATGAAACGTTCTCTCTCCTTTTCTCTATCTCTCTCTCTCCTAAATAACATTAAAAGTAGACTTTAAGGTATCAATCATTCAAGCGTCTGTACTAGGAGGCAATATGTCAACCGAGAACTGAGCATTTCCATCGAGTTAAATTCAGGCAAGGAGAAATTTGAAAATCTCCATTTATCCGCTGGCCCTATTCAGGCCAGCAGTTAACCTGGGGTTCTAGTGGGAATCCCGTGGCCAGTAGGGTGTACAGCAGGTAGAAGATGAGGCAGTAACTCGTCGAAGAAGACATTGTGAAATGGTCGCGCTATGTCGTGAATTATTGGCAGAAGTTAGAATTCAAGGACCATTGGATCGGGTCCCAGTGGCTCAATGGTCTACGAGCTGGTTCACCTTGTAGCCAGAAGGTTGTGGGTTCGAACCCCAGTGGGTGCGTACTACTGAAGAATCCAAACTAGGGAGAAACAGGTGTCTAGTACTCCCTGAAGGTTTTCCAATGGTTTTCTAACTAATGTCAGCTAATCATGATGAAATCCTTCATGCAGTCAAACGAAATCCATACAAAACCAATACTTGAAAATTTCCATTTAATCGTCGGATTTCCAAACACTTCATCAGTGGTTAAGTAAGGGACAAACGAACTTCATTCATAGTTCGATACTATCTCATCTCGTGGATACACAACATAAAAATTGATGTCAACAAGTCAGCTTTCAAAGTCATTTACTGTATACTGACCGATGAATCTTAATTTCACCTCAAGAGTACGTCTATTACATATATTCCTGGGAAAGCTGCTGGAATCCACGTTAAGACGCCTAACCTATGTATCTAAAAAGAAGAAGTTGGTTGGTTCAGATGCTTTCCTTTTCATGGCCGTCAATCAAGGTTTTAATGATCCTTAATTTGTTGTTGAATGGACCAACAGAGAACAGGGGACTTGATGACACCACTACTGGAGAAGGTGTGGAAAGAGGGAAAGGTACCCTAGGACTGGAAGAAAGGATACTTATTCAAACTGTCAAAGCAAGGAGACTTAAGTCAATGCAAGAACTGCCGCGACATTATGCTCCTGTCCATCCCAAGTAAAATACTAAGCCGAATCATCCTGGAGAGAAACAAGCACTTCGACCTGGGTGTAAAACTTGACCGGAACAGGCTGGATTCAGGAGGAACACAGTCATGCATCGATCAAATCGCCACACTACGGATCATCATTGAACAAAGCCTGGAATGCCAGTGACCTCTCTAACTCAACTTCATCGACTTTGAAAAGGCCTTCGACGGCAAAGCGTCGATTGAGACGTGATTCGACAACTACTTCGCTACTACGGGTGCTATCAACAATTATACATCTCATCCAACAGTTGTACGACAATGCTGTGTGGCAAGCAATCCACAAAGGGATATTCACGAAATTCTTCAAAGTGAAGACGGGATAGGCTGACTGCCTATTATCTCCAATGATTTTCCCGGTTGCAGTAGACTGGATAATGCGTGAGACAGCGAGTAGGGCAACGAGGAGGCCGGCATTCAATTGGACCCACACAAAATAGTTAGAGGATAAAAGCATGACAAGCTTTCATTACTGTCAAGTCTGTGTGGAGGTCAACAGCACTCAGCATCAAAAATAACATCCAGATTTTCAACTCCAATGTGAAGTCAGTGCTACTCACTATACGGATCAGAGACTTGGCGCATCATAGAGAGCACCTCAAACAAACTACAGACCATCATCAACAGCTGTCATTGCTCAAGATCAGATGACTGGCCAGAAAAGATCAGTAAAAGAGATCTCTGGGAGAAAACCAACCAGGCACCGATTGTGTAACAAAGAAGCGGGAAGAAATGGAGGTGGATTGACTGGCCATACTCTGAGGAAAGAAACTATCAAGTGACATTACTAGACAAGCCATTGCTCGAGTGTAACCAGAAAGGGAAGCGGCGAGTTGGTCGTCAGTGCAAGGGTGACTTGGAGGAGGTCATGTGAAGAGGAGATGAAAGCATGTGATCAGACCTGGAGCCAGGTGGAAACTTTAGCAGAGAACCGAACACAATAGAGATGTGCGCAGCTGAAGCCCTATGTTCCTCTAGCAATTAAGGAAAAATAATAATAATAAATAATATAATTTGTTGTTGTATAAACTTCCTTAATTTTATTCAATATTCTATTTACTGTTAACATTTTTATGCTTATTATTACTTATGGATCTTTCCTGGATAGTATTTCCAGCTATCTTAACCAATCGATAATATTTAGGAGACACCAACATTGTTAACGATTATTCTACAATATATATATATATATATATATATATATATATATATAATTCCCTTTAATTCCTATAACATAGGGCTTCAGCCAAACGTCTCCTTTGAGTTCGGTTCTCTGCTAGAGTTTTCACCTGACTCCAAGTCTGTCCACATGCTTTCATATCCTCTACTCATCACCACCTTCTCCAAGTCACACTCGCATTGATGATCAACACGCCGCTTCGCGTTAGGGTTACACTCGGGAGCTTGTTTAGTGATGCCACTTGATAGTTTCTTTCCTCAGAGTATGGCCAGTCAATCCACCTCCATTTCTTCCCGCTTCTTTGTTGTACAGTTGGTTCCTGTTGAGTTCGTTCGCTCCCAAAGATCTCTGTTGCTGATCTTTTCTGGCCGCCCATCTGATCTTGAGCAAAGTATTGAGCGAAGACAGCTGTTGATGATGGTCTGTAGTTTGTTTGAGGTGCTCTCTATGATGCGCCAAG